CACAGAAAATCTAAAGGTCTTTGGCAAGCCCCTTCAGGGCATAAAAAAGGCCATGACCGTGCAACCAAGGTTGTCGAGCGCTTCACGCTCCCAACGGCATCCAGCACCCAATGGCATTTTGGTGTGAGGATGCTCAGGTGCCACGCGCGAGAATATGTTGCCGTTGGAGATCTCGATTTCACCTTCCCCCCAACCAGGTGGCCGGCCATTCTTGAAGCGCTCCCTTGGATAAACTTGCGCATTTCGCCACACGGCCCTCTCACAATAGATGACATCAAACAGTCCATGAGTCAAACAATGCCAAAACCGCAAAATCAAAACAAACACATGGTCGAAACATGAAACACTAGCTGATCCTGTGTGTAGGAATCTGGACTGGAGCAAAGAAAACACAGAATGACATGATACATCACAGCCACTTGTAGATTCTAGACAGAACCCCACGTGACGACGTGGGTCCTTCTTGGGAAGCTCAAAAACAGCAAAAAAACGCCCCAGCAAAGGCTCGGGGGAAGGCCGTACTGCTTGGCGAGGCTGTCAGAGAGCTCTGAGGATCCGGCACCGTACATGTCCACCCAGTCCTCGGTGCGGCGCAAAGAGCAGAACCGCTTCAACCGCCCCTTTCGGCTCTCGGAGCTCCCCGTGGGACGAGCCCATCGGGTGATTTGTCTATGTCTACACGCTTTCTCTCTCTCCTTCTCTCTCTTTGCCATCCGTGGGGTCGCATGTCTTCCAGAGCACGCCTTCCGAAGTTTGCAATATTGGAAGAATGAGAAGCGGCACCTCTTCAGGAGAATATCAACAGATGGGTGGCTTCTCGAATTTGATGACACACTTTCAGTTCTTTCAGTCAGAACGATTGATCCAAATCCTGGAATCATATGAACCATCAAACTGAAAGACGAGAGAAAGGGGCACACGCACACACACACACACATGTCTCTTCAGGAGAATATTAGAAGCCAAGCAGCGCGAGCGTATATGTTCGATACCGCGCAGCAAATGACTGCGCCTTCAGCCTGCTTCTGCTTCACTTTTCGCAGCCAATGGCAGCACCAGCCTTGGCAAACAACGTTGACATGAGTGTCTAGCCACACCAAAGCCGCACTCCATTTTGTTGTGGAGAAGGACTCGGCTGAAGGAATCAAAACAAACAAAAAATCCATGAAGATCCTGATGCTGTTTGGCACACCAACCAAGTGGCACGGGTGCTTTGAGCCAACTGCCGGTGCCTTCCTGGAGATCCTTGACTCTACTTCAGCCTCCCACATTGGGTGGCGTCCCTCCGGTGGCGGTACCGGGACATCGTCGCGTCCACAGTCGTGGGACGGATGGCGCCACTTGTGGCCATTTGCCTGAAGGCCCCCCTCAAAGCCCCAGACCGGGACCGTGTCAAACCACACAGTGGCTGATCCTGAGAGGGTGAGCAGTTTCGACAGTGACGGACGAGCAAACTTAGAACATTCAGTTTGTCCAACACGACAATGTGATTCACTTCGACTTTCAGAAACATGCATTTAAAGCGATATAACGATCCTTAACGCACTGACTATAAGAAGATCAGTTGGATTGTTGGTTCCAACGTTTCACGCGGAGCGATGTGGAGGGTGTCCGCACATTTGCTGTTTTACAGCAAGGAGAAAAAGGTGGACTCACCTGGACGCCAAGCCTGGTCCATTTAAGAAACTGTGCTGCACAGAGGCCTTCAGATTCCAAGGGCCCATCCAAAACCCTCTTTCCCATTCTCTCAGATGACTTACACATCCGGTTGAATTTCGAGCAAAGCAGGGGTATGGGTGAAAACGCAGCTGGCTGCGAGGGTGGCTACTTTGAAATGCCTTTCAGACCTCTTGTTCCAGACTTGAGATATACGCATCCTTAAGCAGGTTTTCAGAAAAGGATTGAAAAGGGGTATTGGCAAACAGAGTTTTAAAAACCACTGTTCTCAAGGCATTTGGGTCAGACGTGGCATCACGGATCCAGCAAGCGACTTGGGAGAGTTTTGGTGTTTTCTGGGAGTATCAAAAAAGAAGGCTGCTCCAAATTGAAGACTGTTTACTTTTGGCAAGCTTTGGAGACCTGTGGGTTCACACTGTCATGCAAGTATTGGGGCCCCAAAACAATCAATGCATCCAACCATAGAATTTGTTCCTAGGACATATATCTCAGGACCAGTTTTTATGGATTTTCAGGTGAGAAGGGGTCCAACCAATCAGACAACTTCACACCAAACTCTTCAAATCACAGAAAGTCATAGTAAAGTAAGTCGACTCTCGACTCATGTTTCCCCCTCCTCTCCGGAATGGACCCAATTTCCGGCTACCACCGCCACCGCCCCGGCCCAGGCACCGCCGGGTCTCTTGTTCAATTCCTTCATAACTTCATCATACGCCTCGCCGCCTGGGACCGAGGCCCCCGTGGCCACCAGGACGTCCCGCATGAGGAGGAAGCAGGCGTAGCTGTGGTACGAGTACCAGGTGAAAACCAGGCCCGTTCCGGCCACGTCCTTCACCTGGTCCACCAGCTCCGCATCGTCCTGCAGCGCCTTCGAGGCCAGCTGGACGAGCCAGGGGGCCTTGGTGGCCCTGACCGCGTCGATTAGGAACTCCTTGTCGCCGCGGAGGTCCTCCGGGGCATTCTGCAGCGCTGTGCCGTCCTGGAGGATATGCCCCAACCAGGAAGCGCGCACCTCGGTGCAGGCGGAGTGGCGGAGAGGATCGGCCCCGGGAGACCGCCAAATCAGGTTGGGCCGGCTCCATGAAGGCATTAACTTGGACATGTTTTTTTCGATTTTGGAGGTCTCTCGGATGTGTTCAAACGACATCTTTCGTTGCAAATGCATGAGAATGGTGGACACACACACACACAGAGTTTTCTTAGAGAAGAAGGTAGAAGTGGGGAATCACATGCCCAGGCGTGTAGTATGTCAATTCCTGCTGTCGGATCCATCTTTTTCCATAGATTGAGGTTCATTTTGGTCCGACCGAAACATCTCGGATCAATCGCCGGCCCTTGACGCCGTGTGAGCTCTGCGACATCGAGACAAAGAGCGAGGACAACTTTGACTAGAACTTGGACAAGACTTTGAGGGCTTGTATACTACCAAGTTGATATAGGTAAACTAGCATCCTGCTGTGCCCACTTCAACAAACGTTCAACAAGTTTTAGTTGTCATTGGCCGGCTGCAAAATGAATGAGATCTGCGGCGGAGATATTGGTTACAACGGTATTAGTGGTGTCTTACACATTTGCAAAGGAATATGGCAGCTTACACCTCGACATGGACAGAAATAGGTTTGGTGACTCCGAGTGAGTTTAGTGAAACAACCAAGAAAACTCAGCCTATGAAGCGATCACTTAAGGCGAATCTGGCCGAACCTCACTTAAGCTGCAAAAACAGTTTTATGCATTTCTGTAAACCTTATGACCAAACTGACGCTTAACCGGCACAAACTTTTGACGTGCAAAACAGAATGCTTACGACTGTGAACAGCGCAAAGAAAAATACAATAAACAAAACGACCATATTTTGGCCACACGCTGGCAAGAGAACACCAGAAGTCGTGGGCTAGCACTCCGAGACTGAAGAAGAGACATGTCCCAAACATCCTTGTGTTAGACGTCTCTTAGGTCGTTTGATTCCTTTATTGAGATCGTTGACATCATTTAGAATTGATCGTGTGATAGTGAGACAAACAAACAAACAATTTTCCTTAACCTTGCAATTTTGGCCCAACGCCCGGCAAAAAGGAGAAATCTCCTTTCCACCGCTTTCAGTCGGCTTTTGCAGCCGCGAGGCCACCTCCTTCTCCGCCTGCAGAGCGGCTGCTGCGAACTTCAGGGCGCTGCCGTCCTGCTGCACGGCCACCAAGACCTTGGGCAGAAGTGCTGGAGCGCTCGACCGGACGAAGTTCCTGGACTTGGACGACTCCGAAACCTGCGGAATTCCATCTGTGCTTTGGAATTTGAATCTGGGAGCAGGGTTTACAAATTCAGTCGCTCGGTAGTTCTATGCTGGTTTTAGGAACTTTCGGTGGAAAGAAAACCACTGATTTGTCTGGATTGGCATGGAGCAATGATTTCAACATTCGGAACTTGGCGAACCAATTGCAATGTGGAAGAGTGGGTGCTTCTTAGACATCATTGACATCATTTAGAATTCAGCGTGTGATACTGTGACGGACCCACAAGCAACTTTCCTTAACCTTGTCATTTTGGCATCTTGGACCATCGATCCCCATAGGTGCGAAGAGTGAATGTAGAAAAA